TAGGGCGCTTCTGGCTTCCTGACAGACATACAAAGAAAAATACTTATGTGATCTAAAATGAAATATGTGTTTCTCTTTCAGGTCTAGATGTTGATGGAATATACAGAGTTAGCGGCAATCTGGCAACAATACAGAAGTTACGATTTGTTGTCAATCAGGGTAAGTGATTCCTCCACCCTGGTAATGTTTTGTTTAGTACTTAACTGTCTCAGATGACAGTATTTCAGAATCTGCTATACATTAGTGGCATAGACCGATGGGCCGTGTTTTGGGAAAGAGAAGAAAGGGAAGGTAGAAAGATATTGCACAGAGGGAAATGTCAGCTAGGAGAGAGGAAAAACAGCCGAGTAAGCAAGCGAAAATAGTAGTTAAACAGGAGACGGAGAACAAACAAAACAAACAAAAAAAAAAGAAAGAAAGGAAAAAAAGTGATGAAATGGATACATGAAATAAGGTGGCAAAAAACAAAGCAAGTATGTAGAAACCAAAGAATCAAAGTGAGGGGGAAAAAGATTAAAAGGAAAAAATAGCAGATTGTTTGGATGTTGAAAGTTAAACAAAACCAAAAGTAGAACATGGATCCAAAGGAAACCAGCAAAATAGAAAAAAGGTGCTGAAAAGAACTGAAAAGGAAATACTAAAAGTAGTGTACTGGCTCCGTCAAAGTCAGTGGAACATTTACCACTGATTTTGAAAAGGCAAATATTTGGCCCCAGGAAATGAGAAGAGGAAAGATGAATATTTCAGGGACTTGAGAACCAAAATTAGAACCAAACAGTACATATTTACTGAACGTATTTCCACAGATTCCACATGTAATGAACATATTTCCACAAATACAAAAGAACATTTTTCACAGATGTGTCCCAAATGAATCTAGCATTGATCAATAGATACAGTTACAGGTGTGCAAGTTGACATTGGTAGCTGATTGGGATACGTGACAAATGTATTCACCTCTCTGAACAGTTTACTACTAAATATTCCCACGTATAATAGCTTAGTAAATATCATCAATGATAGTGAACCTCCTGATGCTACTTAATGAGAAAATAAAATTAAACTTCTCGGAAATTAGGAAAAATCCCAAATCTTAACTTGCATTAGAGACTTAGTACACTTCTGAATTAATAGAGTGTAAATGTGAAGCTGCTGCAGAATTTTCTTCTACTTTTTATTAACTCTTTTAAAGCTACCTGGAGACTATTACCAGAACTGTTATATATTATGTATTGTATGTGTTTTTTTGGAGATGATAGCAGTTGCAGAACAGCTTCCTTAATTAGGTTTATACTACACATGAACTAAGAATTTTGGCTCAAAAATTCTCATGAAATTGAGAGATATGAGAGACATAAAAATAGTCCCACCTCCAAGCCTCCATTTACATCTCGAGGGAAGATTTCTGGGGAGCAGTAGATGTTTGCCACCTCCTCAGCTGCTCCAGATCAGTCTTGTCGTCAGCTGAAACTAGAGGGTGAACTCTGGTTTATGGGGAATCAGTATTTATGCCAGTAAATGCAGTGAGACTGAATAAATCATCAGCCTCCTGGTTTTGACTCATTACTTGGGTTCCCTTAGATTTATAGTTGCTGGGTATTTGTGTGTCAATAACGTAGTCTGCTTTGGCTTTCAAACGATCCTACGCTGTGTTTTGTTTGGAGACAGAAAGGCAAAACCAGGATTTTCTATCCTTCCTTACTCCCTAGGATCTTTGCTCAGGAAAAAAAGCGCTATAAAAATAATGGTCTTGTCTATCGTGTCTTGTGGCATCCAAAGGTTAACGTACTTGAGGTTAATGTTACTGCTCAAGTTTTCACCTAAAACAGATGGGCTGATACTGTAAAGCTAGACAGAATTATAAGCTGGCTTTTTGCAGCACAGAGGTACCAGGCACCTTTTCCTCCTGGTTAATACCACTGCGAAAAATGAATATATAAGGGTGAAGTTAATGGTACACTAAAGCCACTCTGGCAATGGCTACTTAGGGCACGTGCAAGAAATCTGCCTATGGAGTGACCAATGGACACCACTGTGCCTTTGGGGGCAAAAAACACCAGGGGGAGATGGAGTGAACAGGAATTATTTAAACTGTGCTTGGGAGGGTAACTCTGATCTCCACCTGATGTCCCCAAGGGCCTGTTGTCCCCTGTCACTCAGATGTTGAAGACAGCAGCAGTTTCAGAGTACTTCATGAAGTTACTAAAGTTACCGGGAAAACCAAGGTGTGCTCTCAACCTGCTCATTTCCCAGTCCACCAAATCTCTGCACTGTATTAATGTTTAATAATTCACTCACCATGCATCGCTTTTTCACTCATCATTGTGCCCTCCTAGGCTCCATCCCTGTACCTTCATTTTTCTGCAATTAACAGTGAGAATGCAGTATTTATATACATATGATTTTCCCACAGAGATTTTTTTAATTATAGTTAAAGTTTAATTTAATTATAAATGCAAACAAATGTTCTGAAAAATCCTATTTACACTGCAGAGACTGTGCAATCAGTACTTGTACAGGCCAAATACTTAATGGGCTCTTTCTTCCTGCTTGCTTTGCCATTGTGTTACACCTACTTTTATAGGATATAAATAATATGTATCACATTGAAAATTAAAGATCATAGAAGAGACTCTAGGCTGTCTGCCATATAAAAGTATTTTTTATTAGGATAATCATTAATTAGAATATAGCAAAGCTTTATTTGGCTCCTTTTCCTATACTGTTAATGTCATCTGCCGCATCAAAAATGAAATGAGAGAGAACTGGTGAATGTGAAAGGAAAACAAACTAACGGTTGACAGCTTTATCATTAAAGAAGAAATAAAACTGCAAAATAAAAATTCTAAAAAGATCCTTAAAATTCTAGATTTCTGTGGGTGAGGATGGGTTTACACTTAAAAAAAACACGTCATGCTTTGTATCTTTTTAAATTCTTTGAATACACTCTGTTTCATTCTCATTTCTTGAGGTAGGCAGCTCCTGAAAAGGGCTTTGACCTTGCCAACACGAGCATCAGCAGAACAAACTACCTTATTTACTTTATCCCTTTCACAGAGTTTTCTTTTTCTATAAAAGTCTATTGATATCACACCTTTTTTGCTTCTGTGCAACAGGATTATCTTTTATCTATGATTTATTTTCCCATTAAGAGCTGAAAAGATCAGTTGATCATAAGAGGACCAGGCTATAACATCTCTCAGCACTTTCAAAACTCTAAGTCATCATTTTTCAAATCACTGAATCAAGGCAGTAGAAGCTGTTTGGACCAAACTGACATCAGGAAATTTGTACTTTTCTTAGTCTACAAGCACTGAAAGAATTTTGGTTTTAGAAACTAAGCTACCAGTCATTCAATATTTCTGGCTGTTAGCCTGTGGCGAAGGGTTCTACAATAACCGGAGACATTAGACAGAGATACCAATTCCTCTTATGCTTTTCATATTATTGGTTAAGTCTAACAGTTGCCATCGTAAGAAAAAATACATAAAAAAGTAAAAGAATTTTTGGGGTTTGGCAATTCTTTGGGATTTTATGAAAGACCTGCAGGAGTTTAGCTGATTTTAAGCAAGGTGCAGTAAGTTGAAGCCTTCACAGCTATTTATAAGGATATTCTTTCAATTCACATGTGTAGGAAAAGGGATAAGGGCCTACATATGGATCTGTTAAACCATGTGAAGTGTGCTGGCAGTTGCAGGGTATGAGGATGCTACTGAAGAGATCAATAGTTTTGGCCTAAAGCCCCAGGATAGGGCTGACATGGGCCCAGCCCCAGGTGGGGCTGCTCAGGGCCATTAAAGCACCACTATAAGAAACTGGGGACAAGTAGGAGGTGCTTTTAAGAAGCAAGCATTTGACCTGATCAGAAATGCCAACAGCAAAGCAAAAAGTGCCTGAGAAAGAAAAACAGAAAGGAGGAGGACTCCTCATCCATAAAGCTGCTAGGATGTAAGAAAGAAACTGAATCTGTGGTGTGTTCACTGGTCATAGAGCGATTTTGGTTGGAAAAGACCTTAAAGATCATTGAATCCAACCATATCATCAAACCCACTGTGGGGAGTGCAGTAGGATACAATGGGGTAAGTCCTTTTTCTGTGCTAAACCCCAGGGTTTTCCTGTCCAGCTTGCCCCTGCCTGTCCCAGCAAACCCTCCATTGCTCTCTGTGCTTGGAGACCAGAGATACCTGAGTGAAGAGGTAGAAGCTTACTTCTTTGAGACTCCTATGCTGATCTGCTGGGTAGCATTCAATTTCTGTGACTGTCAAGCAATTTTCATGAGTACTAAATTAGCGTTAAAAAATGAAGCTATGAAGGGTTCATAACACGTTGCTGAAACACTAGGATTCTATCCTAATGCATATATGTTCAGGGAAACTAACCATAGAAATACAAATTTCAGTAGTTATTGGTTCATTCAGGAAATGTTGGCTCATACATAATACAAGAGAGTCCCTAATTGTCTTTATATCCAATTCTTTGTTTGTAAAATGCTTGGTATTTGCTGTACATATGACCTTTGCATCCCGTTATTTCATCTGGAGTACCTTGTGCGTTAACTGCAAAACACCATGTACCATCCAAAGGTCAATTACTGTGCTTTTACTGCTCAGTTACTATACTTATGTACAAAAACGGGGGGGAAATGAATTTTTAGGGACTAAATATTATGTTCCTGCGCGGAGGTACATTTCTTATGGAAGCTGGAAAAGGACAGCCAAAGGTATCTGAAATAGTAACCACTTTGGGGAAGTGGAAATGAATTTATTCTTACTCTGACATCACCTAGGGTTAATAAAAAACATTTTAGCAAAAAGAATTATAATATTTCTGTTGTTTCTTCTACAAGAATATGCTGCAATATAATTCAGTTTAAGAAAAATGAAAAGTAAAATTTAAGCCACAAATACGTGAACTGATTGTGAATATTTATTAACTAAATAATTTAATAATAAAGAAAATGCCTACTTGATTAATTGTTACAGAGTAAAAATTACAATAAAACTGTCTTGATCAGTGCTTTGCAGAAGCACCATTACTGTCTGTGCAGTTGTTTAACAAGGATTTAATTGGAAAGATAAGTGAATGCACATTTAAAAGTATTGTTAATTTGCTTTATAATCACCCCATCCTTCACAGTATTGACAGCACCAGGCACAAAC